AAATTTAAATTTATTTCCTAGGTTTTAATACATGTAGATTTATGCGCAATCCAATTACCTCAAAACTTAACGTTTCATTTTTAATACTGAAAGTAGACACATTTGTTCACTTAAATTTCTACATGTTATTTCTCAATATTTTTTGACATTTTAAATTTATTTCCCACACTTCAAGACATGATTAAAATTATGGTAATAATTGTTTTGAATAAAAACCAAAGACTGTTATTGAATACAGCGTTGGACATGTTTTTTTAATGTTTTTTGAATTGGTTTTTACCGGCTTGATTTTAATCATTTTTTGAAATTTTAAATTTATTTCCAACATTTAAAAATGTGTAGAATTGAATGGTAAAGTCCAATTTCCATAAAAATACAAGCTTCAATCTTAATATATGAGTGTACCCCGTTTCCTGCATAATTTGTACTGTATACAAACTGTATTTGAATGCAAAATGGATATAGCAATCTATTTTGAAACCTTTCAAAGTGAGGGAAATGAGCTTGAAATTCCAAAAAATAAGGATAATTAAGTGTGTAAGAATTAATTAAGCAAACACGTCAAAGGCATTATTCAAGATAGATTTTTTATTTTGATGCAAATTGATTGTTACCATCATTTTAAAAATGTCTGAAAGTGTAGGAAACAAATTTAAAATGTCAAAAAATAATGAAAATTAAGCTCTTAAAAATCAATTGAAAAATATGACTAATTACAGTATTCAGAATGAACTGTTGATTTTTATGGAAATTGGATTTTACTATTAAATTATAAACACTTTTAAATGTAGGAAGTTTTGCTGCGGCACAGCACACGCGGATTCTGTGTTTACACACGGTTTTTTAATGAATTTTTTACCACTTATTTTTCAAGTTTTTTTGAATTTTTAAAATTGTTTCCTATGTTTCAAAGCGTGCAGAATTTAATGGTTAAAACCATTTTCTATAAAAATGACTTTTGATTATTAATTTTTTTTCCACTCATTTTTTCCATTAATTGTATGCATACATGCTTTTACCTTATTTGTTATGTTTTTTTGAAATTTTAAATTTATTTACTAGGTTTTAATGTGCATAGAATTTAATGGTGTAATCCAATTTCCATAAAACTCAATGGTTCATTATTAATACTGAAATTAGACACATTTTTTCACTTCAATTTCTACAGGTTAATTTTCATTCTTTTTTGACATTTAAATTTTTTTTCCTACACTTTAAGACATTTAAAAAATTATTGTAATAATCATTTTGCATCAAAATGAAAACTATATCTTGAATACTGCATTTGACACTGTTTTTTTAGTTAATTCTTCACTTTTTCCATTAATTGTATGCATACATGTTTTTTCCTTATTTCTTATGCTTTTTTGAAATTTTCAATTTATTTCCTAGTTTTTAATGCGTTTAGAACTTAATTGTAACATCCAATTTTCTTAAAACTCAATGCTTCATTTTTAATACTGAAATTAAACACTATTTTTGTTAAATTTTTTACATGTTAATTCTCAATATTTTTTGACATCTTAAATTTATTTCCCACACTTTAAGACATGATTAAGTTGATGGTAACAATCATTTTGCATAAAAAAAAGATTGTTATTGAATACTGCGTTGGACAGGCTGGACTGTGTACCAGCTCACTGGGAGGATACCCTCCCAATGGGCTGGATTTAAAACAAGCTCATCAGTAGGTTTACCCCCAATGAGCTGTCCATTGGGATTGTTTGCTCCCAATGAGCTTAAGAACAGCTCATGGGGAGGGTTTCCTCCCAGTGAGCTGATCACACAATCCAGCTCATTGGGAGGAAACCCTCACAATGGCCAGCTCATTGATTGGCTTTCCTCCCAATGAGCTGGTTTTAAATCCAGCCCATTGATTGGCTTTCCTCCCGATGAGCTGGTACACAGTTCATCTCATTGGCAGGGAACCCTCCTGATGAGAATGTCCTTGTGTTCCCACCGGCCAACTTCTTGGTGGGTGGGAACGTGACATTGACATGCAGGCCAACACACCATCCATTTTTGGTGTGTTGGCTGGCACACCCTTTTTTAAGGTGCCTGCCTAGAAAAGGGTGTGCATGCCCACACGCCAAAAATGATGAAGTGCACACCCACACACCATTTTTTTTTTGGTGTGTGGGTGTTAAATTTTTCAACTCCTGACTGAGAGAAATGGGGTCTTGAGATAATGGTTTGGGATAGGTTCACAGCAAAAGAAAGTACAGATGGTCGCATTGAA